TTCACTTTACGAGGTTAACAAAGAGTCTACAGTCATACCAGCAGATCTGTGAGGCTGTGCCAAAGCATAGTGAGCTGAATGCTAACGTTAGCGTGCTCACATGTACAATGCTTACATGCTTATAATTTGGAGGTATATTTAATTCATCATGGTTGTGAGCCTGTTCAAATTAGCTTAATGGCACGTAACAAAGTGCTGATGTGGCAAAAAAAAAAAATGGTACTTATGATGGCATTACGAAAAGTAAGAGGGTCAATATAATTATCAACATCTGTCATGAGGGGGGATATGAAAGGCTGTACCAACTTTAGGGGCAAACCATCACCTATAAGTGAAGATATTTCATTAAAAGTAAACGTTTAGACTTGGTGATGGGTCTTGATAAAATGTAGGGGTTAGCAATGGTCAACAAGAATATGAGTACCACATTTCATGGCAATCTTTACAATCATTTTCAAGATATTATACTCAAATTTAATTATGTCAACCTCAGTGTATAACTAGAGGTAAGGTCAGGAGATCACCACGAAATGTCAAGACAATTCCTCAAATAGTTTTTTCAATGTTTCAGCCTGGAACAAAGTAATTTAATTAATTGCATGGTGTATTTTTATATAACCGAAGACCATTTGTAAGTGTCTTTCTAGTTAGTCGTTGGTTCCCTTTCATTTCAGTGGGGTACAATTAGCAGCTTCATGTAAACCATCAGAGTGAACATTAAGTCTCTTATATTTTTGTAAATGAATGTATGTATGTAAAATGAACAGGGTTTCCCACACATAGACTTTACTGATGGAGGTGTGTTTGGACACTCTTTTTTCTTTCTTGATTGAATTTTTGCAATTCAAACGCTTCAAAAGGTTATTACCACGAAAATAAATATAAACCAAAGATGCCTACATTTAACAGCATGGTTTGCAAATTGTTCATTCATGCCGAGTGTGTGTAACTTTCTAATGAATAGGCTAAGTTAAAAGACCCTGGGTATAGCTAATTAAGCCCCTACAGAACAAATCAAATCCAGCTTCACGTTTCACATTCCCAGGTCCTCTTTCACCAACAATCTGCAGACGCTCACAGATCTATTCGATAGTATTTTCATGACCGATTTAAGTGGCAATCTGAACATCTTGCCGACCTTCGTGCCCGACGGCTGCGGCTTAGCGGGCTTCTCTTGTATCCTCTATTCATTACGCCTGATCCTCGTGTCTGAGGACGCCTCGCTGCACAGGAACAGCGGCAGAGCGTCTGCAGAACGCCGTGCTGGAGCACAGCGCTATGCTAAGGCGCGTGGTGGGGTTTAAGTGATATATCCTGCTTTAAGTCTCCCCTGCAGCCTCGCCGTGTGAAATAACAGTCCAGGAATACCTCCTCACTGACCCTCCCCTCCCTCTCCCATTTTCTTCTACTGTTTGGCCGCCATGTGTTTAGACAGCAGTTGTCATTAAACCTCGCAGCACTAAATCAAACTAAGAATATATCAATCATGCCACTGTGCTCCGTGTTTCAGACCAACACGTGATAACTTGTGGATGAAGGTGGGGATTGAGAGGATTTTAAATCCAGACACGTCACTAAAGCCTTCCTTTTATTACGTTTGATAACAAGTTGCATGTTTATTTAGAGTTTTAGGAATAATGATAATCTTAAATACAAAAATTCAAGGAAGAATTTATGTAGCAACATTTATTTTACTACTACTATTTTCTTTTGTTCCACAAGCTCATCCCAACTCTGATCTTCTTTGCTGAATTTCAGTTAAATAACTAAATTAAATGCATCTCCAATAAGACTGTTCGAGACAGCAATGTTTGCTAAGGATGAAAGGAAAAGCATTCTTGAACTGCATAATGTTTTGATCTCTGCAACACAGTGGGAAATTAACATGCACTTGCAGGTAATCGATGAAACTTAAAATCTCATCAATCAAAAAGAATTACAAGAAATGGGTGATTTATGTATGATTGTTTGTCTACTTTTCTTTTTTAATTTATTTTGGAGTTAGCCTTGTAATTGAAGCTGTTCCATATTCTGAATAAATGTTAAAAATGCTTCTAATAAAAATATTTGAAACCAGAGGTTGCGCTAGACTTTTTCATTTGGACGGACAGCATCGTAACGTTTCCGTCAAAATCCAGTATTACCCGTCGGCCTTTACACAACTCTGACAAGGGGGGGGGTTAGCGCCGTGTTATGCATGCCCACTGCACCTCGCGGGAGCGCGCACAGCGTAAAGCCAAAACTCAGACATTTCAATGTTTTGTACGACAACGTTAGGTTTGGAAACGGTATAATTTCCTTTTTGGCGGGCATGCATAACACGGCATAACACCGGAGCCTCGCTGCGGGGAAACTTTGGCGCTGTTCCGAGTTTGTTCTAATCTGTAAAAATGACGGACTGCTTTCAGATTTTTCCGTCATTGTTAAAAAAAATATTCGGTTAACGCGACCACTGCTTGAAACACAAATCAGCAATCAGTGTGCCGAAAACATGCACTTAGTATCTGATTAAGTTCCTAATGAAGAGCCAATGTTAGTCATTTGGGTAAAATATGTCATAATTCTACCACGAGTCGTTGTAAATCTACTTTAAAAATACAAAAGAAGCACGTGCCTCTCCATTTAACCATGTGTTGTATGTACTCTCGCACCCTGTTGTTTAGACAGCAGTAGTTGGAGATTCTGCATACAGGTCAGGGCCAAGGCAAACACCCAGCATCAGCTTACACACTCCAAATCCTAACCTTAACCCCAGGGCCAAACTGCCCATAAATTGACCCCAGAACAGCTAATGAGAATAGAGAGCCAGCCGGGCGTGTGTCACGCTGACAGTCGCCTCCTCACCACAAGAATAGCTCCTGATTGATAGAATTTAATGCCGCTTTTATTACGTCTCACTAAAAATACGAAAGAATTCCAAAAGCGGAGGATTCCCTCTTCTTCTTCATTTTTTAAGACAAAGTATTAAACCACACGTCAAGTGAGAGACAGACAACAGCGCCTAAATGGAAGAGGCGTGGAAGGCCATGCTTTAATCTGAAACAACTTGAGTTTTAGTGAGCTGATACACCGTGAAATCCAGACATTCCTCTCCAGTGAAGGAAAGAACAGATGGTGCTAGAACAAAGTGCCCACTGGCTATTATCGCAACACAACTGACGGATGAATTTAGAGATTCCCCTCACACGCCAGATGCAGCTAAACAACACAAAATGGATCCAGATATGCAGAGTGGAGGCTGGAGGGTGATCTGTCAGCTCGAACAGCCATTTACAGCAGCAGCGACCCCCCCCCCCCCCCC